AAAAAAAGGTCCTATTTACATCCTTACTACATATGGTTTCTTTCAGTTCCATCTGAATTTTTTTTTTTCAGTTGTACTCTTTTTGGACTGTGTTCGCTAGTTAGTGCATTCACCAAGCTCTTCATTGGTCTGTTTGCTAGGCTTCATTCAGAGAATATTCCTGGATACGTATCAGTGCATGACTGGAAAGAGAAGGGGGATAAAGTTGTCTGTTCTCCGAAGTGGGATGACTTTCCTGTGAACTCTTAAGCTCTGTAAAAGCTTTTTTTTCCCCCCTCTTTATTTTTTTTAAACTGCTTGAATTCATCCATTTTACAATATTTCAGGACATCTCAGGCAATCCATTAGGAAAAGGCTGTAGTCTGAGGGATTGCATTTAATAATGTAGGTCAGTGGAAACAGTCCTAAAGTTGCTTTGGTGTTTTGCAGCTTCCAACTTTTGAACCCTATGGGTGAGACAACATCAAAAATCAACTGCAGATGTCTGCTTTTTATTCAGAGGAATCGTCCAAAATCTCTGAAAGAGGTGTTTTTGTCTTCTGAAATATATTACTGGTAGGATACTCCAGAAGGCCACAAACTTTACTCTCAATTGACAGTTGACCAGTGTCAGCTTTTTGGATAGCTCAATAATGGTGTTCATTTTTTTTTTTTTCCTCCCCATCTAATCCTGATATCTTCTGTCAGATCATTCAGCTTACTAAAGCTGATTTTTTTTTTTTTCCTCTCCAGATAAAAGTTATGAAGAGCTTGTTTGCTGGAGTTGTGTTGTGCTTGGGATTTGTTGTTGGTTTGGTTCCCCCCCCCCGTTGTGGTTTTCTCTTGACCTTGTGAAAGGAGGGGAAATGATACACCTACAAAAAGAGATATCATTAAGAGACTATTAAAACTTCAGAGGAAGTGGCAATTTCCTGCCAGCATAAAAAGTGTGCTTATCTTCTGCAAGACTAATTTTTAAGGGTGATGTTTAGCTAAATCGGAGCAGCTGCTAGAAAACAATACCAGTCACAAAGGTTTTTGCTTGCTTTTTCTCCTTTTCCCAGTATTTTTTTTCTTAGTGACGGTGGTATAGCACCAGAAAATGACCTCTGTTTTTAGTAAACAGTTTTAACTATTCCCTCCAAATCATTTGTCAGCAATTGAGTGGTTTACCTCAAAAACTAGCAGTAGGAAAGAATTTGTTATTCAGGTAACTGTTAGAGTTGTTGTTGTCTGTACTGGAGTTCTGTTTCCAAAATTACAAGTTGGTCAGCATCTAATCAGTTTTGAAGCAGTTAATAACTGGATGAATCCTAAGATTTAATTTTTTTTGGCATCTAAAGTCTAGAAATAGCTTTTTTGGTCAGAGTTTTAAAACAGAAGTGCTGGTGTAACATGAACTTTTAAAATGCAGTAATGCAATGCAGTTAAGTACTCTTCATCAGTACGATCCTGACTTTATTTTAAATGTCATTAGACTATATTTAGTATTTTCAGAGGCAGTAGATAGATACATGTATCTATATCCAGTAATCACATCAAATTCTGAGGCAACCTTTTTGAAATTAAACATGTAAATTTGGTGGTTTGATTTTTTTTTTTTTTAAGGTATGGTAGGATTAGGTTTCATGGTTGCAATCCAGTAAAGCTGATGCACTTGACTAGCCTGATGCTTATGAGCCATGGACATAAATAAGGTTGCCCATGTGAATACAGTTAGGCCCATAAATCTTTGGAAAATCAAGGCCTAGGTGTGCAGCTTCAGTGAACACCAAGTATAAACATAAATCCTTTGTGTGTTGCTGAAGTTAGTGTTCCTATTTGCTGATTATAAGTGACTTTAAGTGTTTCTTTAGCAAAATAATTTGTATATGCTATTCTATTCACTGCCACAAAAGGAAATTCTGATTTTCAAAATAATCCTAGAATCAGATAAGGTGTAGGTGAGTTTTGTTTGCTTGTTTTGTTTTTGTTTTTAATAAAGGTATTACAGCAGTGATTTGTACTTACCCTCTTGATATGGTTAGAGTTCGTCTGGCGTTCCAAGTAAAAGGGGAACACAAGTACATGGGAATTATCCATGCATTCAAGATGATTTACACAAAGGTATTTTTTCTTTTAATCTTCAGTCCTGTCAAAGCAAAATATGCTCTTTAAAAAATGTTGCACTGCATTGAAAATAGTGGCTTGGTGGAAAATTAACATGACTTCATTGCGTGCACATTGAATTTTTTTGATGTAAGAAATTATCTGGATGCTTCCTTCTACTTAGGCTGCTAAGATGTAGCTAAGACTCATGTAAGTGGGAGGTCAAAAACAGCAGAGAGAAGTTGCTTTTCAAGAACAAGTAGTAATGATACAAAAAATTTGGGGAGGAGGGATATATGTAATGCAGAAATGTCTCCTAGATTATGATGTTGGATGTAGATTTTTCTCCTTCATTTTCACTTCTTTATCTCCTATGGAGCCAGGCAGTTGTCCCCTCAATTCTTTAGGCATAAGAAATGGAACTTGATGTTAGCTCCTTGGTGCTAGATGATGCTAGTCAGATTGCTGTCATGTGAATCTGTATGAATAGTCATATAACTTGCTGAGACATTTGTTGTATTTCTTGCCACAAATGTACTTGTATTTTCTTTCAAAGGAAGGTGGTTTTAGTGGGTTCTACAGAGGGCTGATGCCAACTGTTGTAGGAATGGCGCCATATGCGGGTAAGTTAAAAACAGAACGTGGCAGTCCTTCAGCAGTTGTGTGTGCTACTAAATTTACATAATACATTTGCACACCTAGTTAATTAGCTTCCTATAAAATCAAGGATTCTGTTTTTTACTGAACGGAGAGGGGAGGCCAGTAGAAGCATTTGCAACTCTTCAGTCTTAATCTAGAATTGATCAATGTGTGTTAAAGCATCTTCAATAGGCAAAGCCTAGCTTTTCTGAAACTTGGAGTTGAGAGGGAGAGAGGTAAAGCAGTGGTTCTTTTCTGCTTCCCAATTTTCCCTCAAGAAAGCATGTAGGATATTTCTCTCAAACAGGTAGATCCATGAGAGAGCAAAGTGCTCTAGATGGAGACTTAGAGCCTCTGTATTGGCTCCATCTCCTGGTGACTTTTATGTAGATACTTACACAAGCTAAAGCAGTGGGTGACGTGGGATGGAGGAACATCAGAACTGCCCAGCTAAACTACAGTCATATTTAAAAGATGAGAGAAGTTCTTCAGTTAAAAAGATCTTAGGAGTTAATCTTAACAGCAATCCAGTAATTTAAAACCCACAGTCTAACTTATTTAAAGCATTCTTTTAATGTTAATTATAAACACTAATTCATTTGGACAGAAGTTACTGTAGAAGTTCAAAATATTATTTGTCTATTTCTTTCTGCTTAAGAAAAACTTCTAAAAGAATTGGAAAATAGTTTCATTTTGTAATTGCAGCTTTTTGTTTATGATGATGATGCATTGACAAATGGTTTGCTTTTTTATGAAAGTACATAAAATTAAATTTCCTTTTAGGTTTTTCATTTTTTACCTTTGGTACCTTAAAGAGCATTGGACTTGCTCAAGCACCTAACTTGCTTGGACGGCCTTCATTAGATAATCCCGATGTCTTAGTTTTGAAAACACATGTAAATCTGCTGTGTGGTGGCATAGCTGGAGCAATAGCTCAGACGATATCGTAAGTTTGAGTATTGATTGGTTTTTTTTCTATATAGCTGTTTATTCTAAAGAAACTTTTATCTGAGAATATGATTTTATGTAAGTCTGGTTATTAGTAAGGTTTTTAAATCAGGTTAATCAGACACTGGAATTCAGTTATTTCCTATTGTTTCATTTACTAAATATATTTAATCTTCAGGGTCTTTAAAGATATATATGCATTGAGTCAATTAAACAAATTCAGACAAATCGCCTAAAATCAGTTGGAATCTTGTTTGATAAGCTATGAAATTTTGACCATGAACATAATTTGCAGAATTTTATTATTCCAATTTATTTTCAAAACAATGTAACCTGTGAAGCTATAGAATTTTAAAAAACAAACAAAACCAACCCACAAGTCTTAGATACTGTATTTGGCATTAATTTTTTTTTATTTCTTTGCCTGCTTTCTTGATTCTCATGCTGTCCTTGTCATATTTTATTTTGTCCATAAACTAAATTAATTTAGTGGACTTACATGGCATCAATTTTTCACTAAATCACTGCATTACAAATGTCATTTTCTATTAATCCTTAAACTGTTAATTTTATTTTTGATTCAGGTGTCTTCTCCCTCCAGCGTTTTACAGACTGTTTTATACTCTCATCTGATCTTCATGTGTCTTCCTTACTCGTGCCAAATGGAATATATAACCAGCTGATTTGCTGGTTTTGGTTGTATAGGGGAAGTCTCCCTTTTTGGAGAACTTTCAGCTGTGTTGAGAATCTGAGCCGGATTCCTGACTCACTGAAAAGGGAACTTGGAGGTTGCATATGGACTTCTTTGTATTCTTTTTTTAAACAATATTCATATAGTCATCACACATCTGGTTGAACTGCTGTTCAAATATCTCCTCTGTAGATATCCCCTTGATGTAACTCGTAGGCGAATGCAGTTAGGAGCGGTTCTCCCAGACTCTGAAAAGTGCCTGTAAGTATTTTGTTTTCATCCGTAGTAACTGAATTCTTATGTCTGAGCAGAGTTAAATTCTTAGTTTTAAAGTTTAAAAAAACCAAACACGCACACCACACCCACCCCCCCACCCCCCAACTACTATGTTGTTGATTTCTTCATTCTCTTAATGAATAAGTTTCCACACAGACAAAAGCTGCCATTATCACTCTGGGGTTAAAAAAAAAAAAACTGAAATCACAGTGGCACTTTTGTTAGTAATACTGTATTTGTAACCTTTTTTTTGTATTTTAATTCAACTTGCGATGTCTTTCTTTAATATCAGCAGTATCCCTAAGAGAGAGACTGCATGCTTCTACTGAAATGAAATGTTTCAAAGTGTTTTTTAATGGTGCAGAACCTGTTCCATAAGATGATTTTGCATAATACTGTTTTATTTGACCTTTCTTGCATTTACGGTAATGTCCCACACCCCGCATGTAGTTGGGGTTCCTCCAGTAGAAGTGGAAGTACCGTAATATCGTTAAAATCATAGTATTAAATCAGCTCTCATCTTGAAAAACTTTCTGAATTTCCAATTGCCTCAACCAAATTAAATTCCAGGACAGTTTTATCTTGGTTACTTTCAATCTTGTGGAATTGTGTATGTCTGAATCCAGCGTGATTCAGTGTGAACCACCATGAACCACCTGTGTGGTGAATTGGATCTTACTAACAGTACTCTGTCTTAGTGACCTTTTATAAACAACCTAGATGGTGCTTTACTGTGAAAGTTGCTGTTTTGTTTTTCTTAGTAGCCTTAACGTTTTTTTTTTTTGCTTGGCTATTTTCCACTCCAGATACTTTTAAAATAAAAATGCGTTAATTGTTCTTGGGGTTTTACTTTCTGCATTTGTGAGAACTACTTTTACAGACATCAGGCTTCCCAATTTAACAATATTGTTGTGACGGTGTTTGGAGAGAGCTGTGCCTTGACGGAGAGTAGACATCTATGTCTTTAGAGGATGAGAGGATAAAACAAGTAGGAGATCTTGAAGCTTTGAGGCATATGGAAGATGTTCTCAAAGAGCAGTGTCTTTAATAGCTTGGAAATATTGAGCACCTTACAGATTTTTACATTGTTTTGCATTTAATGTCCATTTGCTCCATTTCAATATAAGTATGTGAGGAAAATTGTTCTCCTTGCATATGCACTGCAAATTCTGCTTTTAAGGAGGTCAAATATTATATACTTAACATAAATTCTAGCATTTCTCGTTTGAGAGAAAATACTAGGTCTTTGTCATGGTGGAGGACGCTACACACATACAAGATGTAGAATACAGAGCTAAACATAAATTTTATATGCAGAGCTTTAGAAGGATGGGTAGTATGATTGAGTGCTCTGAGAAAGAGAATGGGATACAAGCCTAAATACTGATCTTTAATGCAAGAAGTGTGTGCTACATTGGGCAAATTATGTTTCTGTTACTCTGTATTACTTTTGTAAGAAGAATTGATGCTTCTCAACTCCTTCCTGCCAGATAGGCAATGGAATATGCATAGCCATTCTGGTGTAAAATGTCTTAATATGTCTTCTAGGGCAGGTGTTTTCAGACTGAAACTTCTTTAGATGGGATTGCACTGTCCTCTTCCCAATTCCCAGCCCTTGTGCCCAAATTTCTTGCAGAAGCTCGGACTGTCTTCTCAGTCCTAAAAAGACTATAATGCTTCACTGTATGGAGTCCCATGGGTTTTTCTCTGTAGATCTCTTAAGAACCAAGTAAAACAAATGTCTTGTATTTAAAGAAAGTGATTTTGACTATTGAATATGTGTATCCAATAATGATTTGAGTTCTTATTTTTTCAGTACAATGGTGCAGACACTGAAATATGTGTATCAACAACATGGAATACGAAGAGGATTGTACCGTGGCTTATCTCTAAATTATATTCGTTGTATTCCTTCCCAGGCTGTGGCTTTCACCACATATGAACTTATGAAACAATTCTTGCACCTCAACTAATTTTTTTTTTAGAAGACTTTCCTGTAAAACTACACTATCAGTCCTCAGATTATATTGGTGAGTAAATTACTTGAAGTTTAAAAAAAAAAAGCTATCTGTTACTGTGGAACTGCTGTTGTCTGACGTTTTTATTTGCCAAAATGTGGTTAATTTCCTGGAGTGAAACCAGGAGACAGATCATAATAAACATTAGTTAGCTATAAACATTTTTTTGCACTTGATCTTCTAGGTGTCATTAGATTCATGTTAAGAATTACGCAGTTTTAAAATCACACCCACATTTTATATGGGTTTCAAGCTGTTAGTTCTTTAGCTTTATCACCATTCCAAGAGTTACACACATGGTTATATTGCTTTTTAAGCTAGTAGTTAGACATCTGTTCTTTAAAAATTAAATTGAATAAACTGATATGAACAGAATGCAGTGATTTTCATATTCAGATACTTGCCTGCTCTGTAGAAGCTGAACTCAGCAGACCACAACTTAAGCATCTTTTCATTCTTTTTTTGTACAAGTTTTCTGTATGCAAGAACAATGCATATATCTTCAGATTGGTACATATGAGTCTCTTCAACCGTTTCAGTAAAAAATGACAAGATCTATTTAACATTATTAGAAATCTTGCAATTTGGAAGCCAGTTTCTTGGCATACATGCTATTCTAAAAAATGGTGTATCTACACAAATAAAACCAGGGGGGAACTTTTACAGTGACAAGTGCTAGAAAAGGTTTTCTTAAGGCAGTTAGCATGGGCCTAATCTTACAAGGCATTTCTGTACCTTTTCTGGAGCTGAAATGTTCTCGATTCAGTTTATTGAAGGCTGGGTATTTTATGTACTATCCAGTACTAGCTTGTGTAAACAGGTTTGTCACTACCTTAAAACATGGTGACAAACAAGACTGCATGCTGCTGCATTTACTTATTTAGGCATATGGACCACATTGAACCTCTTGTGCAAGAAAAGAAAATGAAGACTGTATTGGAGTCTGTAGATGTGTATATGTACTGTTTCTAAAGTATGGTATGCAATAGACTATTACATGTTTTCCTCCTCCTACAATTCCTTTTATAGAGGGAATTATTTTCCAGACTTGTTTATACATGATTTGCATTGGTACTCTTGATTTTACTCACTTGATTCAGGAAACTGTAAAGCATTTACTTTAAGTGATGTAAGTTATTTATTTATTGTAAATATTTTAGCAGTGTCTTTTAATAATTGGTAATGGTTACGTTAAGTGGCGGATGGTGAGATTGATTTGCTTAATTTTGTCAAATTTGACAAACCAAATTTTGAGTTATATATTCAATACCAACTTTTGTGGCTCTTTTGTTTTTTCCCCAGTTTCTTAAAAGTATGTATTTCTTTGATATTTAACAATGTAGCTGCAGACGAGAATGAGATGTATTTGATTTATTTTATTAAAAATTTTGAACTAATGTCTTCGTGTGATTTGTACGTGTTGCAGCCAGAAAGAATGCATGTTTCTGGAATTATCTGTATGTTTGCCCTTGTAGGTAAATCTGCATAACATTGTCATTCTTAATTAAGAGACAACAAATACGAGTTTTCACCTGATCTTTAGTTTCACTTAAAGGAAAACTAACCAATATCACAGTGAATTTTTATCTTTTAAAGTCCTTGCAATAGAGCTAAATCCACTGTATTAAAAAAAAGAGATGTGCCATTTTTCTCTCCTGCATTGTTTTACTCTGTGAGTAAATAAGCATCTTCTCATGTGCCAGTTCTTTGCCATGTTAATACTGTTAAGGATGTTTAAATTCAGAGTTTCACATCTTAATATTTCTAAAAGCGATACATTTGAGGAACTCAAATAGGTTTGAGCTGTGTCATGAAAAGTTAAACAGTTCTTATGCAGAATAAAGCAGAGTTCAGCATATTCACTCTTGAGAGAAAGAGAGAAGTAAAAAGTGTTCTGTAAATAATTGAGTAGGATATTGAATGTGAAAAATAGACCTACTGGATGAAACTGTGCTGTATTTTCAGGATCAGTTTTTCAAAATAAATTTTAAAATTTATGAATAATTTTATATTTGGAAGTATTTTAATACTTTTGAGCAAGGTCAGTGAAAGAAAAATACTTTTGTCCAGGGGCTAGATGGGAAGAGGCTGGAGTTTCTAATTTTTTTCTAGTAGCTATTTCTAACTCTTTCTGGAAAGCTTATTCAGGTATTTCTTATTGAGTTAGAACATAGAATTTATTTAGAATATCTGACTGCCACAATGGAAACATGGGACTTAATTGTAAATCCTCTTCCTTTCTCTAGTGACAGCCCTATGAAAACTGGGTTTATTTTCATTTTGAACTACTGAGGGATTTATTCCCTTGTTTTTTTTCTTGTCTGTCTCTTCAGTACTTTCAGTGCACTGAACAAGCAACATCTTATTTTAGCCAGTAAAAAGTACAGGCTCCAGCCAAGCTCATTTCTATGCCTTAATCACATACTTTCTAATTGTTTTTTTCTGTTTACTTTTTCAGCAAATGGAAGGGGCCTGAATATCTGTGTTTGTCTTTATTTCCTAAAAATTTGTATCATCATAATCTCATAACTAATAGTTCTATCCAGTGAAGTAATTATTTTTGTGAAGAACTGGTTATGTAGCCTTGGATAATACTTTTAAACTCTGTTAAACCCACCTATTTCCAATACTCTTTGACATAAAAGTAGAAAAGAAAGCCTCACCATTTTAGGACTCCTTCAGGTGAGACAGTCTTATACAGGCTTATCCATGATATGTCTTGAAAATCTCAGTCTTGGGGGGGGTTGTTTCCAGTGATTAAACATTGTGTCTTTAAAATAAGCCCCAATACTTCACATTCTTACATTGAAAATTTTGCCTGCTGTAACCAAGGCATTTATGTATGACCAATATTGCAGTTTGCAGTCATTATACAGAAAAGTTTAATGTATTTGAACCATTTTTTACACTGATTAATTCCAATGTCTTTATTTGTTTCATTACTAATATTCTCCGGATGTTTTTTGTTGCTCATTTAAATGAGCTGAGACCTCAAGGTGGACAAATTCTATTGAAACTCTTCAAATTCTTCCCCTCCTTCCCTGAAAAAAGAGTGTGCAAGGCACTCATAAGCCTTCTTTTATGTTTGCAACTCAAAACAACCATATTTGTTCAATTCAAACAGGTATAAAATAAAAGTTCTCTGTGCTTCATCCTTAACTGTGTTTTTATTCCGTGCAATTAGTGTGAGTGAGTCTGTTCAGCTCAGAGATCTCTGCTTCAGTGACGTGAATGACAGGCTGCCCCCTAAGCATCCTCAGAGTGGATCCCAGGATGCTTTCAGGCTGGTCTGAGTTACATTTCCTGTACTCTGCTCTGCTTTCCACTCCCGTTGGCAGGATCTGACTTGTTCTCTTAGCACAGTGCTAGCATGGTTGCATAGTTAATCAGTTCAGGAAGCTGACGGCCTTGCAGCTAACTTATACTGTTTCATTCTGCTATTTACCTGCACCTTTGGGTGCTGTTTGACATTTCGCCTCATCCAGGGTAGAGGGACTAGATACCATGGTGCTTCCACTGATCTGATGAAAGGTTAACCCACCAAAAGAAATGAATGGATTTTATTGGTGTCACCTTACTGAACCAGCTCACGCTGTGGCTGCACACTTGCTAGATCTGATGCAAGGTAAATTTAATCTCAGATTTAGCTTTAGGAATAAACTTGCTACCTGGGGTGGCAGCAGGCAAGTATATATTTCTGAGTCAGTTGCTGCGGAAGACACAGCTGTAGGTTCCCCTCATAGATTTCCCTGATTAAATCTGTAGCCTAAAAAAAGAGGGCGTATAAAGCATGTTAACTGTTTGTAAGCATAGATAGCTAACTCCCTGTTTGTCACGGGATTGGGAGGAACAAATTTCATTAGCTTGTGATAACAAATTTTTGACAAATTCCTGAATTTCCACAGTTCAAACTTGTGTATCTTGATGTATATTAATTTTTTCTCAACCACTGATGCCAGAAAGAATTAAAAGAGCTATAGTCTGAGCACTTTAGTGCACCTTTTGTTACTAAAATAAGGTTTGGTGTTTTTCTGGATTTCACAGACCCTCCATAGAGATTCCCCAGACTGCTTGGATTTTTGCTAACTTCAAAAAAATATTTAAAGCATATTTTTATACTTTTATAACCATATTCTGTTAAGATATTTCTTTTTTAGTGTATGAGAGATGTATAGGCAACATGAAAGACACTACAGAACAGAAGGTTATCAAGTGTACAAAGTAAAACTATTTATGTAATCTCTTTTAATACCATACCAAATTATCTGTGTATTTAATAGTATCAACACATAACTATTAAATTACAAGTAAGCTTATATTAGAGGTTCCACAATGGAAAGTGACATTAATGTAGTTTACTGCATGCATTTCGGGACTATCCCAAAGGAAAGGGGCTAATTTAAGTATGCTCTCACCTTTTAAAATTCAAGGTTTGATCCTCCTGTTGGGATGTCTAACCATTGGCCGAAACTGTCGTCTTTGCAGGACTAGAGCCTCATACTGTTTCCCAATGTTTGGCTACATTAAAGAGACACAAGACAAAACTCTTAATACATCATTTTCCTGACATTTAAACTACATTAACAGTCATACTGATGTATTAAGAATAGATTTAATACCTGTGTCCTTCAATCTTTGCTAGAAGTGATGGTCTCGGATCCAGAATGCTTTGCTGAAGTAGTGGTTTTGTGGCAAAAAAAAAAAGCAAAGAAAGGAAATCTGTGTATCTGAAACTTCTGTATCACCTCAGAAAGACTCTGTCAGTGAACAGCATCGAATATAACGAGTTCTTATCAGAGAAAAGTTCAACTCGCAGGCTGAGATTCACCCATAAGCAGTTGGGAGCAAAAGGCACATCTAATTTTACCTCATACTACTGCACTGGTATCAGAAGAGGGGCCACGGTTTAACAAGCACTTGACGCTGTGGAAATAAACGACAGGTAGAGCTGAGAACTACGCCCCCCCCCCCCCCCCCCCCCGCCACAGGCCCTGGGGGGCCGTTAGGCTCCCTCACGGCGCGGGCCCCGCCCCCACGTCAGCGGCTGGAGGAGCCGCGCGCCACTTCGCGCCTTCAACCCCTCTGCCCGCGCGCGGGAAGCGCGCGCTCCACCCCGCCCCGGCGGAGAACACCCCTCCCGGTACCTCCCATTGGCTGCGCTAGCTCTCTCCCCGTCAGTGGCCGAGCTGGGAGGGACGAGGGGCGGGGCTTCTCCGGAGGCGGGCGGGAACGGGAAATGCGGCTGTAGTGCGCCCGCGCCCTGGCGGGGCGGAGGAGTCTTGTGAGGCGCGGGTCTGAGGGGATCCGCGTTTATCTGTCTGTTCGCGTCGGGGCCGGGTTGCCCCATGGAGCTGAGGCGGGGTGAGCCGTGCGCGGCAGAGGACCTGCTCGTGGCAGAGAGGTAGCGGCCGAGTGGGGGGGAAGAACGAGCGGGACCTGATGGTGGCAGAGAGGTAGCGGCCGAGTGGGGGAGAAGAACGAGCGGGCGGAGACGGCCGCCAGCGCGGGGGGTTTGAAATTTAAAGCGGGGCGCGCGGGCTGCCTGGAATAATCGGTGAGAGGAATCCGCCGCCGCTTAGCGATTAACTGATGTTTGCGCTGGGCAGGGTAGCCTACGGAGCGGAGTGCAGGCGCCTGGTGTGAGCTCTGTCCTTGCCTGCGCCCTGGAGCTCTAGCAGGCATCGTTCGGTGTCAGGAGAGTGGCCGGCCTGACCGTTCTATCTGAAATTTTGGCCATTGGCCGGATGAAAACTGAACCTTGAATATCAGTTTTCTAATTACCTTTATGTTGAGGTTAAGGGGGGAAAAAGTTAGTTCTCTGTGTTTGATGTGCTTGGGTGATTGTGGGAATTCTTATGTGCTTTACAGTGTTCAAAGAGATACAAGCTTTCTCACAAGCACAGGGTTGCAGTACAGTTATAATTAACTTATGAATGAATACGAATATATGGATACCAAAAGGAAGCACTAGCTGCAATAAATAGTAACTTACTTAATATTTATATCTCCTTCCTTATGTCTCATATGTCCAAATGCTTGTTTTTCATCCCTGTCATCCAAAGAGACAATGTGGAAACATTACCAGAGGGAAGATTTCCTACACTCTACCTGTATAGAACTAAAACCACACTAAATGTATATAAAAATTGGAGAGGGTTAAAGCTGGGTTTATACTTAAAGCTTTCCCTCTTCTTGTGTATGGGTTGGCTGTTTTCAAATAGTGTTATGTCTTTGTAATGAATTGTTACTTCAGATTTCAGAAGAAAGTGACTGACTCCCCTGACACGATACTTAAGAACGGGTTGAACAACAGATACTGTGTGTTGGAAGTCAGCGTAATACAGAGAAGCGGAAGTGACCCTGAGAAACACTTGACAATTACAGCATCTCAGTC